GGACATAGGGCATAGCAGGAGGTGCGACCACCTCCTCCTCCTCCACCGCCTCCTCAAGAGTGATCGGGAAGTGAGAGGGAAGGGGCTCATAGGGCATTGGACGCCCCCCATGCTCTTGCTGATGCCACGCCTTCCATCCTGCCAAGGACATGGTCTCATAGAACACAGCTTCCACAGTGGTGATGAGGCGGTTGGACTCCAAGTCCAGCACGGTCCAGCCCTTGCTCGCTGCGGACACCCCCAAGTGCAACCCCCAGCGAGCCTTAGGTGCCAGCTTCCCCCCACGCTGCGACTGAGGCACCATGTACTGCACCATGCAGCCCCATACCCGCACCATACTGACATCGGGTTTGTGTCGAAAGGCGAGCTCGTACGGCGTCACACCAGAGGGCAGCGAGGCGTGCTCCACGCGGTTGCGCACCCAGACGGCCTGCGCCAACGCCAGGTGCCACCAGTGGTGCTGCACCCCCATGTGCAGCAGCATCGTTCGCACCGCCTCCACAATGCTGCGCATCTCCCGCTCGGCCATCCCGTTCTGCTCCGGCGTGTACGGGCACGTCAGGTCATGGATGATGCCTTTGCCGTCGAGGAAGAGCGTGAAGTCATGCCCAAGGAACTCGCCACCCCGATCAGTGCGCAGCGCCTGCACCGTGGTCTTACACTGCCGCTCTGCCATCGGGAGCCACTTCTGGAATGCTGCCAGCGCATCACTCTTCTGAGCCAAAGGGTAGGCCCAGACGTACCGCGACTTGCGATCCTTCAGCACCAGGAAGTAGCGGCTGCCGTCCTTAGCTGTTTCACGGAAAGGGCCACACAGGTCAGCATGCACCACTCCAAGCAACTCATCCTCCTCCGCACCCACTGACGGGAAGGTATGACGAGTGATCTTCCCCCCAACACAGGAGACACAAGGTATGCCTGACTTGCCCCCCTTCTCCAGGTCCAAGCCCTTCACTGACCCGTGAGACGCAGTGCGCTCGATGGCATCAACGCCAACGTGTGCCATACGGGCATGCCACATGTCCACCTTAGACCGCACGCCCGTCGTCAAGGTACGAAGGGCCACCGTTTCTCCTTCCTGCTGCTGCGTCGAACACGGCTGGAAGTTCGTGCAGAGAACACGCCCCCTGAACTCTGCACGCCCAAGAAGCGACCCATCTGGTGCCCGCAGCAGAGTCACGTCGCCTGCATCCAGCAGCTGCACGCCACTATCACGCAGCTGCCCAGCAGAAAGAAGACTCGCCTGCACTCCAGGTACGTACAGCACGTCTGGCACCAAGACACGCCTGCCCCCCTCTCCAATGAGAGCGACTGTGCCTCGCCCCTGCACATCCTGAAGAGCGCCGTTGAAGCCTTTCACCTGTTTGATACTACCGCCGCTGCTCATCTCCACAAAGGCAGAACGATCTCCCATGAGATGGTGGGAGCATCCGCTATCAAGTAGCACGACGCTCGGGTTTGCCTTCACAGCAGCTGCAACAGCCTGTAAGCCCTCCCCGGCCTCAGGCTCCAGCACAACGAGAGGAGTCTGCTCTACAACGGGCTTCACCATCGCACATGATGACTGCCCGCTCCCCTTAGAGCCATCACCCCCCTTGCCGCTGCTACCTCCAGAACCCTCTCCACCAGTGTCTGCCTCCTTATCCGCCCGCTGCTGACAGTACTTAGCCACATGCCCTATCTGTCCACACACATAGCATTTCCCCTTGAAGCCCCCTTTCCCCCCCTTCGGCTGACCATCCTTAGCCCCTTTCCACTTCTCCCCTCCGCCACCAACCCCACCCCCATTCTTAGGCTGCTGCTGCTGTGCCGTAGTGGGAGGGGAAGGGGATGAAGTCTGCTGGAATTGGGGCTTACCCTTCTTGATAAAGACTTGGTTAGCCTGGGGAAGAAATTGGTCCTTCCGTCCCTCCGCCGCTAGCGTACACTCCTCCTCGATGATGTAGCTAGCGAGGGTATCCTCGTCCAACTCCTTGCGCACCTGCGGCAGCTTCAGCATCCTGCGTAAGAGGTTGTACTGTTGTGGCAACCCCTTCACGACATGAGTAATGTACGACGCCTGCGAATAATCTACGCCGGCCATCCTCAAGTTCACTAGGATCTGCTGTGCACGGTTGCAATAGGATGTGGCGGACTCGTGCTCTCCCATCTCGAGGTTAGTGAGCGCTTGCTCTAACTGACCTATATACAGGTCGTCTTTCGCTTGATACGTGCGCATGATAAACTGCCACGCGTGGAAGCCGGCATCTACCTTCATGCGACACGCCTTAAGGGCGATCTGTACGGTTGGGGAGCAGCATCGGGAAATCGTGGTGAACGTTAGTAACTGCATGGCGCGAAACTGTGTGAGAAGCACCACTGCGTGTGCTGGGGGAATAGGAGTGGTACCGTCGATGAAACGCTTTAGCTGAGCGATCTCAAGCTGCGGCTCGATCGATTCTACCCATGTCGACAGGTCGTGGCGTCCTTCGAGTGGCCTAGGCACGACGATTTTGTCTGGAGTGAATTTGAAGAAGCCATAGTTGGGGGCTATTCCCTCGTCCCTCGACATCGATCCAATCGGGGTAATGCCTGGCATAGCTCCACTATCGTACTCCTCCGCATTCCCTCCTCCAGCAACGCTCCGTCGTCCTACGTTCGCACGCTCGTGTGACGCCGCTGCGCGATGAACACGCTCCTGTATACCACCGACGCTAGCTGTATTAAACCGAGTCGTTCCTCGCAGGACCCCACGCGACACCAACCCATCAAACTCCTCGTCATCGCCATCTCCGCCATCAACAGCCATATCCCACGCACTAGTTCCTCCCGCGGCTTGCTCTACACGTGGCGAGGGACGATCGCGACGCTGACGAGCGCGTATTCCCTCCAACATGAGCTCGTAATCTTCACTACTAAGCTCACCACGAGAGCGACGAGCCACGAGGTCCTCCTCTAATGCGCGGAAATTATCGGCCTCCACGTTCGCCTCCTCCGTACTCATCCTTTACGACGCCTCTATAAGGTACCAAAAATTTAAATAAATTGTCCTTCCTTAAATCCCTCGTCTCGGGGTCACCTCACAAGGGTCCTCAGACGAGTGGTAATAAATTACCAAACGCCCTATCCTTGGGTCCGAGAACGTAACTGGAGGGACATTAAGAAAGGTTCAACTTAAATTAATAAGCGCCCTTCACTAACGCCGCACGCCAAGGCGAGTATACGAACGTCACTATAATCGACGACGGAAATCTATGCGTGTTCGTTCCACGCTCACCGCACCATGAAGGAATACTATGGAGAGCGTTACGACGGCGAGAGAGTTTCGGCTATGGGAATTGATGTTGTGGCAGTAGTATTCGGTAGCGTTTGGGTAGCGTTGGTCTCAAATGACTAAGTGAGAAACCAAGTAGAATTGTAATATCAACTATGAAGTTCATACAAGCAAACACACAATAGATATATGGCTACGGGAGAGTTGCACAAAGTTGCCGTGGCGCTGCGCAGTAACCCAACCCCACGAAACTGTCGTGTGGGTGGGTGAACGCGCCTCGGCCAATTCCCAACCCAACTCAGCAGCGCAAACCACTTCCGTGCACGCCACTCCAGCCAACACTGCAAGGAGTGGCGTGACTCTCAAAGAAGCACGCCCAACTCCCAAAGACCCACGCCATCCTGCACTGACTCCGCCGAGTTTGCTGCGGTAGCTCGCTGTCACCCACAGTCACTAGTGACTGCCACCGAACGCATGCGTCGGTGCCGAGTAGACTCAGTCGTTAGGCGCTGACCTGCCAAGTCAAAGGTCATCGAGGGCCCTTGCTGTCGTAGGGCCCTCTAACAGGTATAAACTTTTGACGAGTGAGTCAGGTGACTGGGGTTGGGTTTGGACTTGTCGCTGTGTCTGAAGTCGAGGGACCCTGTAATTTGGTTACCACCATGTACCTTTTATAAACTTTTGGACTTTCCCCTGGCAAATGTATACCGCCGCTTTAAGATCCCGATGCAGTGCTGAAACTTTTGACGTGGCAGTTTCTTCGTCAAAAAGTCGGCTGCCATGTCACTGGTTGGGCAGTACGTGAGTTTTACCCTTCCCTTGTCGATCTCGTCCTTGACGAAGAAGTAACGGAGTGCGATGTGCTTTGTGCGGTTCAAGAAGCCAGGCTTGTTCGCGATTTTGATTGCGCTTTGATTGTCGCACAGTAACGTGAAGTACCTATTCATCGTCACCTTCGCTTCCTGCAGGAGCTCCATCAGGTACACTAAGGACGCGTCACCTGAAGCGGTTCGATCGGCTGTAGGTTCGGTTTGTCGCATGGGGATGAACTGTAGCTTCGTAGTCAAGTTAGTAACCCTTGTTCGCCATCTTGCGCGAGTGTACAGTAAAATTGTACTTTCAATCCTGTCACCTGGGCAACCCCAGATCGATATTACGAGGGCCCATATCGACTGTGAAAACAGAAGCGGGCGGTGTGGTGTCCCGCGCCAGGGCAGCAGGCACGATCGAGCGCCTGCACTCCTTGTCGCATAGTCACTGCACCTACTGGCACAATGAGGTGTGTACGACACCGCCCCAGAGGAGCCAATTCACCCAATTGGGTTGACCAGGTGCGACCACAATGGGAATGTCGCACGCGACCTGGCGAAATCAGTCGCAGGCTGGGTGTACACCCCCCCCCGAACCTGCATCTCCGAACCTGTAACCTGTGTGTCGGTGTGGATACCTACGTTTGTATTTTTGCAGGATGCAGCATCGATCGTGTGTGAGCCTGGGCTCGAAATGCAGATTGGTGCGAGTTGGCCAACTCTGGGCCAATCCGCTTCAGGTGACGCGTCCTAAAAATGTGTCCACGATCCAGTCACCTATACGAGCCCCGATCGATAAAGCGGAGTGTACATATCGATCACGAGACTGGATAGTGCGGTGTGGAACATCTCTGGTCATGTTCTCCAGTAACCACGACACTGATCAGTGGTCACAACAACTAGCTCCGTTGTAGGTTTAGCTTCCGATCATTTTTGGGATGGAGAAGATTGACGCGAGGAAGAAGAAAGGCATGACGCGGCGGGGGATGATCGCCGCTGTTTCATACATGATCTGCGCAGGTTAGGGTTACGCTGCTGGTCATTCGGGGAATTTGAGCAATTCGGATTGTTTCAGTATTTCGGATACATCGGGTACTTCGGATAATTCGAGTAATTCTGATGATTATGGTATTTTTGTGATCCGAGTAAGACAGGAAATTTGAGTAATTTGGAAAATTTGGGTGGTTTCGGATAATTCGGGGGTAACTCAACTAGGTTAGAAATCATGTCCAGCGATCCGTGTGTGACTGTCACGACAAAGGTGACGGTGTATCACACCCCCTCTTCTTCCCCTTCCCTTCCTCCTTTCTCCTTTGCCTATGTGCTCAGTTCATCCCCTCCCTACAGTCACACCCCTTACGTTCAATATTCTGCTCTTTCCGCCATCAATTGCTGAGCGGATCCGCATCTACCATACGTGGCTACCAAACTCCTTTCCATTTTCTCCGTTCTCCTTTGCCTATGTGCTCATCTCGTTCCCTCCATACAGTCACACTCGTTATGTTCAACAAGGCCGCCCTCTCCTCCTTCAACTTTCCTTGCGCCAACGTCATCACTCTGCTTCAGGTGACGTCATCACCCTTGTCACATGGCGTCACCTTTCTCTCCTCTATGTGACATCATCACCATCACCATCCTCCAGGTGACGTTATCACTCGCTCAAGGTATCCCCCATCCTCTTCCTCTCCCCTCGCTTTAGCCATCATGGGCAGGCGGTAGAGTGAAGCTATGTGAATCCCTTTCTTAGCAGCACCCCACCTCCTTTCTCTCATCAATTTTCCTCCTCCCTCCCTCCCCCCTCCTTCCCTCCCTCCCTCCCTCCCTCCCTCTGGCCCCCCTCCCCATTCCCTCAGATGCTCGCCCCTACGGCCCTGCTAGCCGTTCTCCGACTGGTAGCGCCTTCACATGCGCAGGAAGCTCAATGCAGTATCAGTGCCTCACCACTCATGCCCCTCACCACTCATGCCCTCACCATACTCCTCCCTCCCCCTCCCCCCCCCCTCAGATGCTCCCCCCTACGGCCTGCAAGCCATTCTCCGACTGGTAAACGCTCTTGCATTTTCCCACTTCATTCCCATGTGCATCCTTCTTCCCCCCCCCCCCCCCCCCCTCCCCTCCCCCACCCCCCTCAGATGCTCTCCTCCACGGCCCACGGCCTGTTAGCCATTCTCCGCCTAGCAGACGTTCTCACCTTTGCTGATGGCTCTGCTGCTGACGTGGCTCTGGGCATAGGTAGCAGCAGCATAGGCAGCAGCGGCAGCAGCAAGGGAGGAGCAGCGGTGGGGCTGGGCAGGGTGGTCGCAGGCTTGTTCGCTCCCAGCTACTCTCGTCTCTGTTGCGCCTGCTGCTGCTGCGGGCGGTGGTGGGGGAATATTGGGGAAAGGAGGGAAGGTGGGGAGGAGCAGGGGCGGGCGCAGTGGGTTTGTGCCTCTGCATACTCTCGCCAGAGTGCTGCCTCTGTCGCTCTCATATCTCCTCTACATGGTACGTTTTGTCCCCGGGGGGTTGGGCTGGGCAGGGCGGTGGCAGGCCTGTTCGCTCCAGTTACTCTGTCTCTCTCACTCCTGCTGCTGCTGCTGGGAAGGGGAGGAAGGGTGGGAGGAGCAGGGGCGGGCATAGTGCGTTTTGTGCCGCTGCACTGCACAGCACAACTCTCGTAGACTGCTGCTACTGTCACTCTCCCTATCTCCTCTACATGGTACGTATGTCCCTTGAGGTTGCCCTTTCTTGCTGTCATATCTCCTCTATCCCTTTCCTACCTGGTTCTCAGTCGACTCAAAAGCTTCGTGGTATCTCCTCTACATGGTACGTATGTCCCTAGGGGGTTGGCATGCGATGAAGTGCTGCCATGGGCAAAGGGGAAAAAGGGCGGGCAGTGCGTTTGTGCCTCTGCTCTGCACACTCTTGCCAGAGTTCGGCCTCTGTCGCTCTCCTACCTCCTGTCCTCTACATGGTACGTGCTTCAGTGCATGGTGCATCGTGTGGCATGGTGCATGGTACATCGTATGGCATGGCATGGTGCATGATGCATGGTTGGCTGTTGCTGCTCTGCCTCTCCTGCCTCCTCTATACGGTATGTGCTTCAGTGCATGCCACATGCTGTAGGGAGGAGCAGCGGTGGGACTGGGAAGGGTGGTGACTGGCTTGTTCGCTTCAAGCTAATTTGTCTCTGTCACTCCTGCTACTAGTGAGGAGGTTGTGGGAAATTGGGAACGGGAGGGACGGGAACAAGGAGCAGGGACGTGCGCAGTGGGTTGGTGTCTTCGCATGCCCTTGCCAGAGTGCTTCTTCTCTCCCTCCCGTACCTCCTGTACGTACATGCTTCAATGCATGATGCACTGTATGGTGCATGCTGCAGCACCCCCCACACACCATGACCCCCTTCACTCTTCTGTGTGCTTGTTGGTCTCTACTGGGGTGTGTGTGTGTGTGTGTGTGTGTGTGTGTGTGTGCGCGCGCGCGTGTGTGCGTGTGTGCGTGCGTGCGTGCGTGTGTGCGTGTGTGCGTGCGTGCGTGCGTGTGTGTGTCTACATCCTAGGCTAGTGCGTTCCCCCCCCATCCCACTCACAGGTGGTGGGCATGGCGAGCATAAGCGGAGTGAACGTGCCCATGTACACGGCACTTGCGCCGCACCACAGTCGCCTTCACCCTCGTGGCAGAGCGACTGCTGTCAACCAAGCGACACTCCTCATACACACTCATCAGGTGGGTTTAGGGGTTGCACGCCACTCCTCCTGCTCTGTTGAAAGCATGTGTGTATGGGTTAAAGTCAGGCGCACCACTGTGCCTTTGCCTTCGCCCTCCTGGCGGAGGGGCTGCTGGCAAGCAAACGGCATTCGTCATACAGCTAATCAGGCAGGCGGCTCGAGGACTTCTCTCTGCAACCGCACTACACTCCTCCTCCTCCACTCCACTCACAGCATCTGGGTGTGCGGCTGACTCAGCCGCAGCACACAGCGGCCTTCACTTCACGCTGCTGGAAGAGCGGCTACTGGCAAGCAAGCGAGCGGCACTCATCACACACGGTAAGACCCTCCTCCTTCATTACTGTGTGGGAAGCACTCACACGTGGCACCACAGTGGCTTTCACTCTGCTGGCAGAACGGCTGATGGCAAGCAAGCGACGCTCCTCATACACGCTCATCAGGTGGGGTTGGGGGCAGGCCCTTCCTTCACTGTCTTTTCAGAGTTCTTTTGAGGGAGAGCCCTCCCTCACTGCTGTTGCGTTGAGGTGATTTATAAGTGCTTCAGCCCTTTCACTTGTGCCGTCCCAATGTCCTTCTTTTCTAAGAGTTCTCTTTTGAGACGTCTCAAAAGCCGCGTGATAGAGTGGGTTTTGAGATGTCTCAAAACAATTGTGCCGCCCAGTGTCCTCTTGTACTCTTGTGTCACTTGGGGAATCCTCAAAAGAGATAACTGCCTCATCAGATGGGTTGGAGGGTAAACCCTCCTTTGCAGTCCAGTACTCCTCCTCCCCTCGTCCTCCTCGTCCTCCTCCTCCTCCTCCTCCTCCTCGTCCTCCTCCTCCTCCTCCTCCTCCTCCTCCTCCTCCTCCTCTCCCTCCTCTCCCTTCTTTGCACAATGTTCATTTCTCCTCCTCTCTCTCTCCTCCTGCCTGCCTCCCTCTTGGCAGTCAGTCAGAGTGGCAGGAGCGCTGGTGCAGTACTAAGTTAGACGCACAATGGTGCTGGTGTGCTGTGTGTCTTGTGAGCTTGTGCTTGTATATGTAGCAATCACATTTCTCTCCGGTCTCCTTCCATCTCCCTTCTCTCAGTTCAGTGTGGCAGTCATCGTCACAGGAGCACTGCTGGCAGCGCTGAGGGACTTCTCATTTGACGCCTACGGCTACTCGCTGGTCTTCCTATCCAACATCACCAACGCACTCTACCTCGCCTTCATTGCAAGGCTAGGCAAGGCCACGGGCCTCAACAGCTTTGGACTCATGTGGTGCAATGGTGTGTCTACGTTACTTGTGCCCTCAACCTATGCTTATGTGCCCTGTGCCCTGTGCCCTGTGCCCTGTGCCCTGTGCCTGTCCCCTGTGCC